CTGTAACTGCACACTCAGAATGATGTCTCTTTCTCCAAATGAGTCCACCCCCACTCCCAGGTGCTTCCCTAGTTGATTTAAATATTTCCAGGTTCTCTTTTTACCTGCTTTTGCCTCAGTTTGTCAGGTTCTGGGAATACTTAACACTTATCATCCTGCATATTATAGTAGATAACAGTGTAATTCCCAGCTCATGCATTATTTTAGGGATTTAGTTGTGCAAGGAATGGCAGCACCATAGAGGATTTGGGCCCCTGAGCTGGGCTTTCGAAGGGAGTTTAAAATGAGTACCTCCACAGCACACTCGAACATGACCTATACCCCTACCCAGGTTAACCAGTTCAGAACAGAGTAGTGCTTGTGTGTATCCTTATTGAATTTGATTCTTCTCTTGGTTCAGCCTGTAATTTCACAGATGTTTATGCCATAGTTTAGGAGTGACTAACAAACTCAAACTCACAGGTCTTTTTCAGACTGGGTAATTAGTTTATACTTTCTACCACGGGAGTGCATTCCTTACATTTCTTGGATGATGAACTTTGTAAGGACAAGGGCTCTTTCTTATTTAATCTTGGTCACTTTTTCCATCTAGTGTAGGGACCAACACATGGTAGTCCCTCAGGAAATATTTGTTGAATGAATGAATTTTTTTACCTATATTTTATAGCAATACTTATAAAATTGTTTGTTTTTTTTACCTTTAGAACCATGATTCTATTATATAACATTTTAGCCATTTTAAAACTTGAATCAGCTATAACTTTGATAAGCCTGTCATATCTTTATTTATATGATAAGTATATTCGTTAGACTAGGACAAAGCCTACTGATGCTTAAGAGGTGCTTCCCAATTAATACATCAAATATTTTTACAAGTAGTTTTAGAATTGATTTTAAATTCACTGATTGTAAGTGTATTACTCAGTGAATTTCATAAGTATATACGATAATGTGCCCACAACTGCCATTATGATGTAGATCATTTCCATCCCTCCAATATGCCTCTTTACAGTGAATCTCTTCCCCCACATCCTCACCCTTGGCAACAATTGATCTGCTTTCTGTTGATAGTTTTGCCTTCTCAAAAATTTCACATAAATGGAATTACAGGTACAGTCTTTTGTGTTTCCTTCTTTCCCATAGTATAATGTTTTTGAGATTTACTTATGTTGTATGCATCAGTAATTTTTTTCTTTTCATTACAAAGTAGAGTTCCCTTGTGTGATACAGTACGATTTGTTTATCCATTCAGCAAGTTGGTGGGCATTTGCGTTCTTTCAAGTTATGGGCTCTTATGAATAAGGCTACTGTGAACATTTCTGTACAAGTCTTTGTGAGGAATTTATCTTTCAGTTTCTCTTGGGTAAATACATAGGAGTGGAATTGCGGGGCAATATGCTGAGTGTGTGTATGAAAACTGCCAAATTATTTGTCAAAGTGCCTCTAACATTTTGAATTTTCCCCCAGCATTGTATGAGAATCCCAATTGTTCCATTACCTTGTAAACACTTGATATTTTTGTCCTTTCTTAAAAACATATAATCTTTATTATAATTTCCCATTACCGTTTAGTCCACTTATACCCCTCTCCCCCCAGCAATCACCACACTGTTGTCCATGTCCATGAGTCCTTTTTCCTTTTTGCTCAATCCCTCCACCTCCTAACCCCCCCTTAACTAGATATTTTTGCCCTTTTAAATTTAGTCATTCTAATGAGTATATAGTGGCATCATATTAAGGTATTATTTTGCATTTCCCTACTGTCTAAATTATATTGAGGATCTTTTCTTGTGCTTACTTGGCACTTGTTCATTTTCTTTGTTGAAAGTATGTTTAAAGCTTGTCTCTTTTTTAATGGGGTTGTTTGGCACTGGATTTTAATACCATTAATCAGTTTCTGTAAGGAAATATAAGGAAGGCATTTTTGTTGCTCACACACTTTCAAGAATAGAATTTCTTTCAATGATATTTTTGTTTCCTATGCCATTCTTTTGCTCCTTTGGGTATGCATAAAGTTGTTCTTCTGTCATCTGTTGGTCTGTTTTAATTTATCTTACCTTGCTTCCCGAACATACACTCTTTACTAAATCTGTCAGCCTATTCTCTGGGAAAACCCCATATGAATTTACTTGCTATCTGCCTAAACACACATTGGCACACACACATTGGTCACTTGCAAACTTTGATTCAGTTAAATGAAAGCCTCCTTAATTATCTCAGTCATCACAGTACAGTAGGCAGGGACATCACTGCACATTTGTTGGTTCCCTTGCACCTAGCACTGTGCAGTGTAAGTAACTGGGAGTCAACAGATGCCTGTTTGTGATAGTGAGCTGCTGACCTAGGTAACTTAACTGCTGAGTGCTCTTGAATGACTCCAGAGCTTTAGAGAGTAAGAGTTCTGTCTGAATTGATGGATCTAATAGGATATTATCTTGAAATTCTTACTTTTAAAACTGCTTATCTAAGCTTTGACCATAGAATACCTATATTTTGCTTGATAGCTATCTATAAAATCTACTTGAAACTGCATTGTAGCAAAGCTATGATTATGATTTGACTGTGAATAAGAAAGGGAAATTCTATTTTGAGGATAAATGTATCTAGATTAGACAGCCTAAAAGTATCTCAAATTTCATTTCATGGACATTCATTGTTTAATCTGGCTTTGTCAGGGGAGTAAAAGGCAGGGTATGTTCTTGGACATTAGTAGTGTTTTGTATTAACGTAAAATTGAGTTGACCCACTAAGTGATGTTCATGCTATGAAGAATAATAGGTGTGTAGCAAAATAGATGAAATTATAGCTCTTAATGGATTATTTATGGAAATTATAAATTGATTATAATTTAATGGAGCATTGGATTGGCCCCTAGGAAACCAGAGATTTAACACTAATTTTGCTGTGTGACTTTGGAGAAGTCACTTGGCCACTCTGGGCTTTCATTTTCTGTGCTATGAAATGAGTCGATTGGAGCAGATGACCATTCAATCCCTTATCTTCAAGAATAGGTGCTTCCCAACCAGGGTACATGCCTGGGTTGCAGGCCATGACCCCCAGCAACCACACATTGATGTTTCTCTATCTCTATCTCCCTCCCTTCCCTCTAAAAATAAATAAATAAAATCTTAAAAATTAAAAAAAAAAGAATAGGTGCTATGAGTTATTTTTATTAGGATGATTTTGCTGTCCTATGGCAACTTTGAAGACAAGTCTAGTCCTAAAGTCTTTCATATGTGGTATCATTCCCCATCCTTGTAATTATGTGACTCTGCTATTTCTGCAGCATTAGAGTGGGAGTTCAGCTCCATTATTTTCTCTCTTCAAACTGTGAGAAGGAAAAGGCAAAAATAATGATAAATACGAAAAGGGATTTTTGATACAATTTTAGGACAAAACAAAAAATACCAGTTGCAAAGAAGTAAAGCATAAAACATTTTCAATTTTTATTATGGGTCGTGATCAATTTAAGTTGGGCCCAAATATATTTTTATTAAAATTTCTCTAACATCCTATTAAATATGTATATGACTTTATTCAATTGAAGTCCTAGATCCCATACATTTCAAAAAATAAAATAAAATCTTAAATTGCCACAAACTTGACAAAAAGTGCCATAAACTTGGAGTTTATATTTCTGTTTTATTCCAGTACTAATTTTACTTTTGCTCTTGTTGAACATTGCTGGGTAATGGGTCAGGGGAAGTAGGTAGATTGTTTTGAACATTTTAAATGTGAAAATGGGAAGTATCATTCTACTTGTTATTTAAATTGACATTTTGGGGCTTTCTTCTATTTTTTTAAGCTAAACAAAATCTAGGCCAAGATTTGCAGGCTTATTAATAAACTTCTGCCAAGTCATTCATTACACATCACTCTAGAAAGAAGATCGTGGTTGGGAAGCTGGCATCGGCCTTAATGAAGTGCTCTTCACCAGCAACTGTTGAAGTCCCAAGTGCCTCCTTAAAATATTTTTACTGTTGATTACTTATATATCCTCGCGAAATAGAGAGTAAATCTCAATTAAAAAGACATCTACTATAGTGAGAGCATTTTTGTTCCCTGTCTGTGAGCCCCCACTTTTGCATAAACGATCGTGGATGCCGAAAGCAGATGCTAGTGGAGAAGACAGTCAAGTTTTCTACTGTTATTTTGTTTGAGTTGTCGGTGTATGGATAACAATCATTTTATGATTCATTCACATATGTCCCAATACATATGTACTGGAAGATACTTGGATAAAAAAATGTTTAGGTGTCAGACGGCCCTAGGGACATGACTTTCTTCAAAAAGCCTCAGTTTCTTTCCTCTTTTGGAAAATACAGTCCTATAATTTCTGGGTGTGAGTATGTGCCCCGTTCACGCTGATTGTTTGAAATGAAATACTGTGTAGTCAAAATTTGGGGCAGCATTGCCTCCAAGGTCTGTCCTTCCTCCAGGCGAAAGAAGCCCCCACACAAATGGGCATGTGTTTGTGAGCTCATGTCGGAACTGGAACGCATTTGGAGGACAAGATAAAATGCTGCTCTGTAATATTTGACTCCCTTGCAAACATGAACAAAGTTTCTGAAATATAAGATATGTTTTCCTCCCCAGTTTGCAGGAGCTTGTGAGAAGGCTACATCATTTGCTGCAGGATTTTGTGAACAAGTCGTGTGGGGGATCTTGTGGTGGGCATGGTGCAAAGCCACGCGGGGCCTCAGGGCTAGTGGCCCTACACAGGCTCCCTTGGTCTGTTTCCCAGTGAAGGCCCAAACACAGCCTATTCTTTAGTTCCTTTTTTTTTTTTTCTAGAATCAATTTAGAGTTTGCTAGAGTAGCTCTAGCTCTAGCAAACTCTAAAGTTAGAAAGACAATTTGGACACAATCTTTTTCCACGTATATGAGGAAATGTACTGTGTTTGTTCTTTTGGTAAAAATCAGTTTCTTTTTAATGATACTTTAAACATTAATCACTTTTATTCTCCAGAATAATTTGTGTTGTGTCTCCTTTTTTTTAGAAATCCCCAATTGGATATCTAGAGCACTTGCCTTTGTTGTTCTGAGCCTTGGATTGGAAGTTAGCAACACTTTCTAAGGCCTGAAAGGGAAATAAAAGGTAATTACATGTTAAAAATATACTATTAAATTCATGTATAACTCTGATGATAATAAACACAACCTTTTAATTGCTGAGCAGAATTTAGGTGTCCCCTCCTGTCCCTTCTTCTCCTGCCTTCATTCTGCCTGCTTTTCTCTGTCAGCTTTTTCTTCTCTCCTCTTCCCCTCTTTTCTCCTTTCCCTCCCCTCCTTCGTTCCATATATTCATTCACATCCACTTGTGGCATTTTGCCCCAGTGCTGGTCACTGTTCTGGGCACACACACTTTATCACATTCTCTCACACCCTGGCAGAAAGGAGGGGATTGGCAGAAACCAGCTCTGGAACTGGCTGCCCGCCGACCCATCCACTGTGCTTGCTGGTCTGGCGGAAGCTGATCTCAGCTCCTTCCCCTCCCTCACCATTCCACTCTCTCCTTGCTCCTGGCCCTCTTCAAAGTTGCCTGGGTGTTTGCAGGTAGTAGCTTTTTCTGTGAATTCTGTGGACATGCAACCTCCCCAGTTTGGACCATTAGAATCAGATTCCCTCATGGGGATAATAAGTGAAGCAGGACCAGTATACTGGCTCCTGACCTGTGAATATATTCAATATTCTCACTGTGGTATGAGACCCGGTATATTTTTTGCAATCATTAACATAATACATATGTTGCAAAACAATTAAATGTTACAGATATGTAGCATAGACTCTGCCTGTTGACATTAAAGTCACTCCCTGGAGGTGACACATATTAACTGTTTTCCTGTCTGTGCATATACGAATGTTGTTAATGAAGACATTCAATCTCTAACAAGTGCCTTAACTGAATGGGGGAAAATAAGTGGCATAAAGGTGGCTTTGCAATTTCTGCTAAATATTGTACCTTATTTCTTTCTCATTCTTGGCCTTTGCTAACTGAAAGGGCAGTTTCTGTGCGGTGGGAACCATTAGCATTCTCGTGTGCTCGGTTCAGTTTGCAGGTGTTTCGTAGTCACATGGTGGAAGAGCGGCTGCTTACCTGCTACTGCACTAAGAATGCATCCGTCATCGAGTATTCTGTGGAGCACCTGGACTCGGGTGTTGCCCAGTCAAGGCGAGCACCTTTGCCCTGGGTGCTGTGTGGGAGTGGAGACCCTCTCCCTAAGCTGCCACTTCTGCAATACACACTCCAGCATGGCTCTCAAGACATTAGTTTCATTTCTTCACAGTTTCTCTGTCTGTTCTGAAGTTGACAGTTGTTAGTCGGTTGATAGCTAGCACAGTCGTCTTCCTCCTAACCATGGCTCCTGCCTCGGCTCCCTACTGCCTTTTCCTTTGGCCTCAGAGTTGACCCCCACCCCACTTGGTGCTCCCCACTATATCCAAATACAATTTGCTGTGGTTCCTATAACCTTTATGCCACCACCTGCCACAGTTGTTTGTCTTTTTCCTCACACTGGCAGCTGCTGAGGTGGGTGCCTGGCTTGTTTGGCTTAGGAACAGAGAGCTTCGTGTGACCAGGTGCATAGTGGGCCATACATTGGAACTAAGCAGCGGATCAACACTGAAGGGACATGGGGCATCTGTCCAGATCAAGACTCTTTATCCTGGGATGTCTTGTGCTCTGGTCAGCTAGAAACCCTGGCCTTTGGGTCACATGCTCCTTGGACCATTGAGCTGTGCCAGCTCTGAGGCAGGACTTCAGTTCCCTTATTGTGAATTTCTTCAGAAACACTAGGGTCCAGATTTATGAGTTAGCTTATGGACTGAGGGGTGTAGTTCTGGCCATATCAGCCCTGGCCCCCTTCCTGTATGCTGCTGTAGCTGTTCTCATAGGTGAGGCAGAGGGCAGGGCTAGAGAGCCAGCCTCCTTGGGGTCGGTGGGAAAGAATGTGGCTTTGACATTAGGGGGACTTGGGTCAGCATCAGGACTCTGCCACATATAATATGTGTGACCTTGGGATAGCTGCTTACTCTGTATTTCTCAATTTCCTCATCTGTCAAAGCAGGGTAATAATAGCAACCATATCATAGGACTACTGTGCACATTAAATGAGTATGTCACTGCGTGCACTGGCACAATGGAAATGCTTGATACATGTGAGTAGCTGTTGTCACTGTCATCACCTACAGAATGGAGATAATAGCATTTACTTCTCATGGTTATATAAACATTAAATGAGGTGGTGTATATAAAACACCTCGTGCCAGGCATGCAGTGTCCTCCAAAGGCGGCAGCCCTCCGCGATAATGGTAAAACGACAACATCATTCATTATCAGCAAGGGTGCTCTGATCATGACCCTGAATATTAGCTAATGTCAAACAGGACTAGCCAAGAGTGGCAGCAAGTTTGGTTTGTCAACCAAACAGTACTATTTGACAACTTATGTTATTTGAAAGTTCATCATTAGTTTATTAAATCATTTCTACACTTTGGTCACAAAAATGACTAAAAGCATTGGTTACGATTGACTGTTAGATTGCGTAGAAAGTTGTGTAGTCCTATAGTTCTTTTATGCTTACTAGTGCCCACTTCTTAAATATAAAGTGCAGTGTTTTCTTGGCTTGTTATGAAATTTTTAAGCTAACTTAAGAATAAGGATAATTAGATCTTGAATAACACTTGAACCCATTAGCCTACATGAACCATTAGCCTGTATAATCACAACATGTACACAGATATGTGTTATTATTTTGGTCTCTCTCATTAGCTTTTCTGTCATCATTCTGAACTGTGAGGTATACTGAAGTGTTATCACCCATGCTATCTGGTTGTTCCAAAACTATAAAAGGGCACGTAAACTGAAATTTATTAACATTTGGTTCTACTATTTCTAAATGCAATGAGGCTTATACAGAAACTTTGATGTTCTTTTCTCTATACTCTAGACCAAAAGCACATCTGAATCATTGATGCTTTGGAGAATTTCTTATCATTTGTTTTACACATTTGTTTTCTGTACACTTGAGACAAATGACGTTACTTGGCTTAAGGATGCCTTTTAAAGAAAAGAGTGTATAATTGAAGGGACTGTGAGTTACCTTAGAAAGTGAATGTTTTTGAGCCCTTCTGGCAATGGAGCCCTGTCTTGTTATCCTTGCACCCATTCCCAGCCTTGGGAACGCTCAGTGAAGGTGGAAACTAAATTGAAAATGCAGTGAGAGAACTGGAGAACTGAACATGCCTTTGTTAGAACACTGAGAATATGATGACTTTTCAAATGTGCCTTTAGTATTACTGTAACACAGTTTAAACTATAAATAAAGACATTTCAGTGGGAGTGATATTTTGTGTGTATTTGAATGCAGTTCTTGTTCTTTCCTCAGTTTAGGATGCTGATGGCATGGAGTCTGTCTCTTCCTGCCTCTGCCCTTCCCTCCTCCCTGCTGCCTCCTGCCTCCTTTTGAGATGGACTTTGAGCAACACGCTGTCTGCCCCTGCTCTCACAGTGTTCCTGTGCAGTGGCCTGAACTACTTTGGAGGTCCTGATGGGAATTCAGATAACAGCAGTAACTAGCGTTGAACAACAATGCCACTTCTCCCGCCCTTTCTGCCATTGCGACTTGCATTGTGGTAGACCCCTCTCCGTGTATTACACACCTAAAGGAGGGAGCTGCCAGCCCCTCTGTTGGAATTTGCAGTGGTACATCTCTGCTATTGACTTAAATCTACTGTTTAAATGGTTTCGTCAATGTCCTTTGCTACATCTTTTCTCAGCTCATTTGAGGTAAAAGCATTCTGCCTCTATTACCATCACCATGTTCTGGCAGAGAGCAGCATTCTGGTTGAATCTCACAGGAAGACCCAGGCTTGGGTGGTTTTGACGTTCTCTTATCAGCCAGTGCTCATCCGTCGTGGTGAAAATCTAGCACTGTGACGCCTCACTTGCTTAGATGTTCTTCTCCATGGTAGATAGACATTACCCTCTTTAAATTGATTGATTTTTTTTTGAAATTCGCATAACTTTAAAAATTGGACTTTGCCACGTGATTGTAATAGGTTATAGTTTGTCTTGAGATCAGACAAGTAAAAAAAGAATGCAGCTACTTCTTAAAATTGGTAGAAGTACCAAGTGAAAGCTTCTGAAAACCATGTAGTTTAGTTGCTGCTCTGAATGGGATGAATTAGTGATCCCCCTTCTCCTCCTACCACCCCACCGAGAAGTGACCTTTGATTTAACCTCTCATTGAGTTTGCCTCCTTACTTGATTTTGGTATTGATCTGACCTGAGTGCCATCCAAGAGCAAACTGTTTAAGCCAGGTATATATTTCAGTCCTAAGAATTAGAATTTATCTCTTCCAACTCGTGACTGTCTTTTTTTTTTTAATTTATGTAATATAAACTTAGCTTTTTCTAAACTGACTTTCCTAATTGATGTCCAGTCCGTTATTTATTTATTTATTATCTATTTATTTATTTTTACCATGTTTTATTGTTAAAGGAGAAAAGCATCTGATGGTATATTTTGGTTTTTCAGGTGTTTTTGAGACCACTAAGTTATCGATAGACCTTTCATGTGTTAATGACATTAAGGTACAAGTAAATATTAGAAACTGTTTTCAACTTAGTCTAATAATCCCAGGCTCTGCTTAACCTTCAACAAGCCTGTACTACAGTGAATTAATTCTAATTATTACATCTGATTTTAAGAAAATTGACCCCATTTCAGGTTTTTGTACACAAATGTATCATTTGGCTTGTCTTCTCTAAAAGGAAATTTGTTTATTTCATTGACTTAAAATGTTAATAATTTGTCACATACTTCAGTTATGAGGATGAATTTGTGTTTTAACAAGGAATATTGTTTATAATCTTTAAAATTTTTTTAGTAGCTTCTCTTTTCAGTGACTACAGTTCTTGACTATATGTTCTGACTTCTAAGTTAATTAGAATTGGAAAACAGTGATTTCTTTCCTCTCTTTCTCCTTGTTGCTCAGGACGCCCAAGCCTCCTCCTCTTGTTTTCCTTTTCTCTCTCCACCCACTGTGGTTAGCATTTCATTTCATCTCAGAGGCCATTCTGTCTTTGCTCTCTGCCACCTGCACAGATAGGCATCTTCCAGTGTGACACAGGCAGGGGCTGTCTGGCTTTGAAATGCAGGGTGAATGGGACCAAATGAATTCTAAATTGTTCTGACCTAGTAACTCTCCCAATTTCTGTTTCTTAATCTTCAAAAGGAGGACAACTGTGCCTATTGAAAAGCGTGTCATCTTTGTCTGTTCGAATGATTTCTAATGACATATAAATGTACTGGGGCCTCTTTTCACTTACATTTGGAATCTCAGGTGTTAGTCACTCTGGATCAGGTGGCAGAGCAGCCATGACTCCTTGTCACCCCTGGGAACATTGTAAATGACTGTTCTCTCTGCTCAGAACTGTGCCATCTTTTGTGTATGAAATCGTGGAGTGTCTAAGATAGAGATTTAGCCGATTTAATTTTAACTTCTTGATTTTACAGAGGAGAAAAGTGAGACTATTTTACAGTTGCCTTCATTTAATACATTTATGAGAATGTAGCAGAGATATCTTTTTCTATTACTATTCTTAATATAGGCTTTCTTCATGTAATCAAAATGTTTATGGAAAGTAACTAGTGCATTAAATCACATTAAAAGTGATAAGTCTTCAATACCCACCAGAGTAAGGCACAGATTTGCTTCATCTGAGACCTGTAGGAGCACAGCTGGCATTCAGGAGTTTCCTAGGTGGCCATGTGATTGCATTTGCTCATTTAATAGTTCACTTGACGGATGTTCCCTGGGCATTCTCAGTACCTTCTGAAAAGATGAGGCTCCTGCCTTGGAGAACCACACTGTTAGAGTTTATGAAAAGGTAGCCCCCTCCCCCTGGTCCTTCTGAGGTAATTCTGCCCTGTCACCCTCGGTGCTTGGGATTAAGTTACAGACAACCTGACTCTGAACCTGCCAGGGCCCTACCACACTGGCCCTGCTTTGGGCACAGGATGATCCCTGAGTCATCCTCACTCTGACAATGTGGGGGCACTGGGTCTCTGTGAGACCCTCCAGTGTGGGTCATGTTAAAATTGCGAAGAGATTAGGTCAGCCTTAATTTAACTTGAAGAATGAATGTGTTTCCCTTAGAGGGAATGTACTGTGTTCTTGGCTGGTTGACAGAGGGGGAGGGGCAACCCTGAAGTACCACAGGCAATGTGCCAGTGAGCAAGGGGGCCGTGTTCGCCAGCTCCATTTTCCTTCTGTCCCCTTTCAAACTTCTAACCATCCGTGCAGAATCTTATTAGCATGGGATGACACTGCATTTACACAATCTCAAAATGTTATTCCTTAGTCCCCTCATCACACAGTTTTTAAAATAGTAATTTATTAAGTCACTGCTGTCTGCTAGGCTGTGTTTGGAGTCAGGTGAGTCCATTGAACAGTGGGACAGGTGATGGAAATTCAGAGATGAACTCCTGGCCTCCCTCTGACAATGGATTGAGTCCCCGTGAGAGAAGTCAGCCTCCTGTCTGAAGGTCACTTCTTCTTTGACTGACTGTACCTGCCTTAGCACTCCTTGGCTGAGCCCCTTACTTTTTTTTTTTCCTGAAAAACATTTACCTTTCAATTGGGGCATGAATTATTTTGACCCAAAAGCATCCCGTCTATGTTGTGTGACAATTCATTTATTGAACAAAAGCAAAGCAATTTATTTACTGAGCAGAACAAAGCAAAGCAAAAGCGGTTTGCTTTTCTCTAAGCATTTCATTTTGTCCCATCTGAAATAGTGCTCATGAAGAGAAACTGAGGTACAAACACATGAAGACCCAGGAGTTCCTGGATGGTCTCCTCCTAGGTCAGGACCATTGTTTTTTTATGTTCAGTTTTAGTGAACCCTACAATTTCCATTTATATTTTTCTGTCTCCACTATCCTTATTTCAGCAACCTGGTTGGCATGTGAAGGTCATTGGTAAAATGAATTTTAGTGACAAGTTTGTGTGTGTGTGTTTTAAGCAAGAGTTTAGAAATGGGAAAATCTTGATTGCTAGGGCACATCACAGTAACGTAAACACATGAATAAGTACTAAGTGGAAGTGTTCACCTGGCAAGAATTAGGACCACCCTTTTAATCTAAAACAGGATGATGTTTGCCACTCTTCTTCCATTCTACACTTTTATCCAAACTTAAAATGTCCTATCATGATTATGTATTTTCATACACATATTTTATGTATTAAATATATTGTGATTATGTACATCACTTAAATACATTTTTGGTGGTCCCCATCATGTAACTGGTGGTAATATTTCAGCCAACATGTTAGCAAATGTTCTTTCATTTTGATTTGTTTTTGCCTATTTGGAGGAAGATACAGCCAGAGGGAATCACAGCAGGTGTACTGTAACCTGGGGAGTCTTGATGCCAGGTAGGGAAGGTTAGTGCACTACCTTGGATGGTGCAATTCACTTACCATAGTGATCGCCAACTGTCACAGACATGTGGCATGAAGGTTTTGTGCTATAGTAATTGGCGAGGAACAGCTTCAGGTCAACGATGCCTCCTGATGTGAACCATCTGGTATGTGAGGACTTCCCCTGAACAAGTGTGTGCATCACCTCTCCCTCAGTTTCAGCCACAGGTCTCGGTAACCCTGGAGGGAATTTCTGCTTTGCATTAGGAAGCAGCACCAAGAATTGCACTTACTTCCTAGCACCCAGGTCTTTTCATATGAAATAAATAGGAGTCTAGCTTTAGTTCCAAGTACGATTTGGCTTCAGATAAGCTGTATAAACTTTCCAAGCTTTAGCTTCCTCTTATTTGCCATGAAGAGAAATAGATTCTGATTTTTCTGCTTCCATAAACCATATAATTTTTGTTTGGCTGGTATAATCAAGCAGTAAGTTAGAACAAGTAACATTGGACCAAAAATACTGTTATTCTTTCCTTTTAGAAACTGTAGTCTATAGTCGATCCAGTATATTACACTAATTGCATTTATGATGAAGACATTTTACAATCACAGATGTTAATTGATTTAAAAGTAGAACATCTTCATTAAGCTGTTGAGAAACAAGGTTTGGGTGCTTTCTCCTGATTTTTCTGGCTGACTTCAACAACAGTGAAAACTCTGTGTGAAATATTAATGTCATTCAGAGATGATGTTGTGTGACCCTTTTGGTTTTTGGCTACTTTTTACACAGATTGTTTTACACAGTATATCTATTCCTGGTTTATTCAGATTTCTGGTTTACCTGGATATTTTGCAATATAAATTTTAATTTTACCCCATAGGATCTCCCCATCTCATTTCTTGAGGCAGGGAACCAGTTAGGCGATGCTAACACAGCCCCTGGAGGGCCATGTAAGGGCTCCTTGGACTATTTTTGTTCAGCTGGCTAATGCAGGCACACCGTGCACCAGGGTTTAATCGTATATACACAAGATATAGGTGCAAGTGAAGAGTGTGTTTCCTGTGTGTTTTGTTTTTCGTTATCTAAAAGCTATATAGTCTTTGTCAAAACCAGTCATCAAATCTCCCCTTGCCGGATTCTTGTATAAGATTTGAAATAGACAAAAAGCATCTGCTCATTAACATGCCAGGCCTTTTTCTGACTTCTAGCTGTCCCATCTCACAGTTTGGAAATAGGCCTTGTTGCTGTCAGCCCGAGACTTTGCATGACACATTCGTCTTCATAACACATGCTGCTCCCTCAGGGCACCGGGAGCCAACACTGTGTGCACTGAAATGGATGAGATGATTTTCCAAGGT